CCTAACTATGAGACTTAAAAAGCATTTCCTTAAAGTCATAAGTCCAAATGTGTATGGCAAGTGACTTTGCTTTCTCATAGTAATCAAACACGGTAAGCATACGTTCTGCATATTGAAGCTGGCTCATTGCTGCACCTTAAACCCCAGGTGCTAAATTCTTCTTCCAGTTACTTCAGTGCAACCCTGCTGACATCAGTGAGATTGCAGCAGCGTAACTGGGAGGAATATCTGCTATCAGGGTGTGGATGCTGTGTGAGAGACTGGCATCTGTCACAAGTATTCTCACTTTTCGGGGGGAGCCAGCACCACATACAGTATTGGAGTATATGGTTTGATTGCTCTGGCTTAACCAAGAAATTGGAGGGGGCAAGTAAGTTAAAATAATACATGTGTTATGGTATTGTCCTTCAGATTAATAGCATTGCATATCTTCTAAAATTAAGACAGAAGAACAGTCTTTAACTCTCACTAGTCAGAACAGTATCTGGAATGGAAATTTTTGTGAGATGTGTAGGTACTTTTCAAAAAGAACTCAACATGAATATTGGTTCAGAATGTGAGCTTGTCTGAGTGTGTTCTTGCAACTTTTTCAAATGTATTTTTCCTGACTGTTTTAGCAAACAGATTGCATGTCAGGAATGGTCATATCAGCAGCAAATTTTCAGTGATTGTTGTATACCAAAGAAGCAAAAAGAAGTCTTGATTTTGTTACTGTCGCAGTTCTTGGTGATTATCTTTAAGCTTGCATTACTTAATTTTCAAACAACTGGCCAAATGAAGATCCACGGAAGGAAAAAAAAGTAGTATTCAGCTCATTGAGTTAGACAGCAAGACTATTTCAGATAGAAATATCTGCTGCAACTAGAATTTAAATATGTGAATAAACCTTGGTTAGTAGACTGTCTTGCAGACAACATGGCTTAGAAGAAATGTAAATTTGCCAAAGCCTATTCAAACAGACAGGAAAAAATAGAGCAGGCCAACTATTCAACTTGCTAAACATTTTCTCCAGCTGAAAACTAAATAGCTTAGGAATAGCAGGAAAATATTGCCACCACTGCAGTGTAGTGTGAAGATGCCTAAGCTACCTTGCAGCAGGTTACCTGTACCAGAAGCTGCCTTGCTGTAGTGCAGTGCTCCATACAGACAAATTCATGTTGCTTTGCGAGGATGTGTAAAGCCAACTGGGGTATTCACACACTGCAATACCTGCTTTGATCTTGATCACAGCTGAGCAGTGTCATTCATATAGGCTGATGTCAGCGTTTATCGTCCTTGGACTTCCTTAGTTGTCTTCAGAAGCCCACGGGGAACACTCTGATTAGTTTTCTGAGTGATTTGGATCAAATTCTTAGATAGAGTTAATTGTTTTCCAGTTTTGCTGTCAAAGTTTTTTAAATCTTGGGGCTTTTTAATTGCCTTTTTTCCTCATTTCTTGTTCTCTTCTAGCTGGTAGCCGGTCTAGTTCTCCGGGTAAGCTGTTAGGAAGCGCCTATGGTGGCCTGAGTGGAACGTCCAGAGTCCAGCCAGTGCCATCATCTTCAGAGAAGCGCAGCAAGATCCCTCGGAGCCAGGGATGCAGCCGAGAGACAAGTCCCAACAGAATAGGACTAGGTAAGAACGGTCACTGCAGTGACACACTGACTGGTGTGCTTGGAAGAGGGACTTTCCTGTTGACTAGACAGCTGTTTGTGTGTTACTTTCAGCTGCCAAGTTAATGTGATTTGTAGAAGTTTTAATTTTGCAGGTTAAGCTATAGTTTCAAAGTAGGCCTACAGATGTCATAAGATGCCTTCTGTTTGAAATTCAGCATGAGCGATGTTATTAGATCAGGCAGCAAAAATTGTTGTGAATAACCATCACAGCAAAAATACCTCATTTGGCATGAACAGCTTAGTCCTGAAGCTGAGTTGAGCAGTCTTTACAGTCAGTTGGAATCAAGGGCAGGGAGCACCTCCTTGGATTATTTTAGAAATTTTGCAGTTTAAATGGTTTGCTTCTCTCATCCTCAATATCATGGAGCCACTTTTAAATGGCACTTTACACTTATGCTTTAATGACTGCTTCCAGTATTCATGTCTCAGTGACTGTTATGTAAATACTGTGTAATAGCTTTTATTTTCAAATTTATCAGCAGACTCATTTTTTTTTAAGTCAGGTGAGTAAGCATCACTATATATAAACTTTTGTGTATCTGAATTGAGGTGAAAAGGTATTCAGTGTGCTATCTGAACAAATACTGTTTTCTTTTTTTAAGTGAAAATGTTTTCAGAAGTTTGAAGCTTATGTAGAGGAAGAACACTTTAAAAAATACTGTTACTAAATTATTTTATATCTCAAAAAAATTTACTAGTAGGTTGAAATTGATTGAAATATTCTTACTGTTGTCAATTAAACCTTTTAACTGTTGCCTTAGCAATTGTATTTTAAATGTAAGCTACCTTTCTATTTGGAGTATGTTGTTAACAGAGAAGTATCTTATTCATTCTTCATGTATATTGAATTTAAAGCACCTGAGTGCATATGCTGTTATGGTTCATAAAAATATTACATGTTTATTGTGATTGTTTTTCCAAATTCAGTGTTCTTCTCGTGTCCGATCTATTTTATGGCCTGTGTATGAATACGTTGTGCTTTTCTGTTCATAGCTATTAAAATGTAAAGAGCCTTCCAAATATTAGAGATAGTTGTTCTGCTGTCACTCTGCAGAAGAACATTGTTTTGAAGAGGAAACAAAGAATGATGGATAGTACCATCACATATGCTTAAGCTGATCGTCACAGTGTGTGGTCTGATTTCTAACAATCTTGAGCATCTGAAGGGAAATTGCTGTGTGTAAAATCCTCACTCTTGGGTTGCCTGCTTTCAGGTATCTTATGGGAGCCTTGAAAGTGGAATTTGTTGAGTGGGAGAGAGCTGTGACAGATCTGTCAGATGTGTGGCTTCCACCTGCCCCTCCAGGTTGATGGCTGCAGCCTGTTCTTTCAGTCTGTTGTGGGAGCAGGAGGGTCTGACACTTGTGGTGCCTTTAGCACTCTGTTGCAGAAATTGTGTCTTTATTGGATCTTGAAAATGGTAATACTGACTTGGATGGACAGCTTTTGAGCTGTCATTTTTATACCATTGTTCCATTGTATTTATTACTTTATAACATAGTAGCTAACAGTATTTTATGCTTTCTTATTGTGTTGCTTCAGTTCTTATCTTTTCTTGTCATTTTTTTCATGTGTTCATTTCATTAGACTCCCACTCACCTTGGTCCTAAGTATGTTGATAGACTTTTTCAGAGACTGATTCAGAAACATGCTTGACCACACATGACATCAAATGTACATGCAATACTGAAGGCGTTGTGGGATTGTTCACGTATTTAATAAACATGTGCTTATCCCATGGGCTGAAGCATCTCATAAGTCTGTGGTCACATTGCAGTGCGGTGAGTGTTGCATCATTGTACAAATCAGACTGTTAGGAATGGGTAATTCCTGGATCCTGTTCACAGCTCATCCATTGACTTTTGTAGTTTTTGCAAGAGCGACTGGGAGTTGCAGCCAGACCAATGCTGTGTGCACAGGCATGACCACACAGGGTGTGGGTCCCTGCATGAGTTGGGCTTTATACAGGAACCATCCACTGAAATTTTTCAGGCCCTTCTGGGGCAGTGGCAAACTGATAGAGCCTCTGCATGTGGATCCCCATTAGCATCAGTACCTTGCTGCAGACTTAGATTTCCATGATGACCACAGTTATCCATGAAATATGTTCCTTCTTTATGCTGGATACCTTGAAGAAGTACATTGTTTCCCTAGAGGCAGCACAAGGCACATTTGGCCCGCTGAGGTCCTGCGTGGTTACCTATATGGCCCTGCTCTTCAGCGCTCTTCAGTTTTAAGCTTGCCTTTGCTGTCTGCTCATTGGAGATTTACTAGTCATGGTACACTGTTGGTAAAGAAAAACTGTGGTCTTCTTAATCTTGAGCTTTTCTTTGGGCCTCTTGCAGAAGATGTCCTCAAAAAGGGTGATGTCCATTTCCCACGGACTGAAAGTTTATCTACTTGAAGTTAATTCTGTTGGATGCTCAGCAGAGCGTGTGGCACAGCTGGGTCTGAAAGGAGTGAGAGATTAGAGACTGTCATCCTCCAGAAAGTGGAGCAAGCACAGCTAGTTATCCATTTCACACAGCAGACCTTTTTCTGTCAGAGTTATGCCGTGTTTGCTTATTGGAACGTTGAAGGCAAGTTTTGACTTGCCTATACTGGGTGTACCCAACTGCAGAGCTTTCCTGTGGCTGTTTTGGCAGCATTTTCAGACTCCTTAAAATACTTGTACCACTTTAAAGAAAAATTCTGCTGATTTTTAGTCTCCACTTCAGAATCATTAAAAATCACATGCTAATGAAATACAGGTTTCTTCCAAATGGTAGGTTGCTAAACAGGGGCACAATTGAGTTCTGCTGGTCGTTGGGTTGGGTTCCACTGGTGTAAGACAGCCTAGCAGTGTATTTTAATAATGATGTGTACTGTATCTAACTGATCTGCTTTTCCAGATGAAATTGGTAGAGCTTAGGACACATATAGAAATTTGGGACTTTACTGAAAGCAACCCACCTTTGTCCTGTACTGGGCTCCCACTCCAGAGCTGGCTGTGGACACGCTGTCTGCTTTCATTCTGCCTACTCCTTTTAATAAATTTTGCTACAACATTTACTTAACTTCTGTCTGATGTTGGAGGTTGAGAATTCTGAAATTGAGACTTATGTCTGTCTATTCTGTGACTGCTGCCTGCGCTGCAAAGACAGGCTGTGACAGTACAAGAGACTAAATGACAGTGTCCCACGAAAATACAAAGAACAGTAAAAATGTGAGGCAGGTGCCTGGGAGTTCACAACAGACTCATCATTCAGTTCCTTTTTTAATCACTTTTTTCCTTGCTTTCCGCATTTGTATTGAGAAACATGCAAATCTTTTGTTTGACCATTACTCATGAAGTACCCAGTGTTTGGTTTTGGGTGCTTTGTGCAGTCAGTGTTGTGTTTCATCTGCAGCATTGTCTGTTCTCATGCCGTTAAAATGTGTTTTCTTCATACTTTATGCAGCTGCTGTTAGCTCTTATGGAAGGAGAATGTATTGTGTGCATCCATTATTTTTTGTTAATCTTTCACATCTCTCCCTCTCTAAAGAGCCTTTGCTAGTTTTAGTAGGGTTCTATTATAGAAAAGATTGACAGATCTTTTCTGCTTAAGAGAAATGACTGCTTGTGCAAACCTGATGTGAAGGCTGCCATTATTTACATATAAGCATGAGACCCAAGAATGAGAAGTTTTCTGGAGAGTCTTTGGTTTCAAGCAAGTATTTGTATGGAAGACTTTGGGGTGTTACTTTCACCTGTAGTTCACCTGTCAGCTTTTTTCCTTGTACATCTGAGGTAGGATTATTGTACTCATGGACCCTAATTTCATCCAGTTCATATTAGCCTGTCTTATTTATTAAGAGACCGTCTAACTCACTCAGAAGTTTTAGACATTACGATGATCTAATCAACTTGGTCAGTACCTCACCTTGTATTGTCTGACATCAGAGTTCAACCATCAGAACCATTAATTCATCTGAGAGATGTGAGCTGGGTTTTGCAAAACTGGAAAGGATCTGACAAACCAAGAATCTGGCAGTAGTCTGTATTTGAATTTTAAAGCCTAAATACGAAGGTTTCTATTTTGTTCTGTACTATTGTGCTTTAAAGGGCAATAATAGATCCAGTGTATATGAGCCCACAGAAGGACTGTAGGGGAACTTTTATCAGCTTGAGTCTAGGCATTTAAGTTCTGTAAACAAACCGACAGAGCTTTATGAGATTATATATATTCTGAAGCATGCAAATGGCACTATTTTTATAAATACGAGGATACTGTTGAACCTGCTCTGTACTAATACTATGTTATGTGTATGTGCCTCTGCTCCATTGTTATCAAAGCTGATGGATTGGATTTTACTCTGAGCATGAGAAAATGCCTTGAAGACTTTTCCTGAACACTTAAAATACACTACTGCCTATTCAAAACAGCAAAGGAAATCCCTCTTTAGTTATTAAATTCTTCAAGATAAACTCATGACAATTAACTGCTATTTTTAGCTAAGAAAACATTATATTCTCTACCGGGCATACAGCTTATGAAATAACTTTCTGCAAACATCTTTCATATCAAAATGATACAGAATTTGCAGAGGAATAATGCAATTGTAAATACCTAAAATACTCATTTTATAAAATCATAAAATTAAAATCCTTGATCTTAAGCAAGCTTCTAAGGGTCTAACTCTGTTTTTCCTACTTGGACAAAACTCCAGCTAAAGGCAGTGAGATTGCTTTTTACTGTGACAGCAACTTAATCTTCTGTCTTCTACTTTGCATTTGGCCAAATGAAGAGTGTGCATAGGATGAGTTTCTGTGATACACCTGACAGGCAGGAGCCTTATTAGGCCAAACGCTTGATAGCTGCCAGACCAAAGATAAAGAGTCTTGTTGAGGTGGGGTTTTGTCAAAGTGAATAATGTAGCTTAAAGCTCTCCTTAAGTGTGCATATGTCTCAATCTGTGTGCATATAAAACCGTTAATGCAAGGTTTTAGAACTGTTTGAGGAGCGAAAGTTAGGTACCTTCTGTAAAAGACCTGAAGTTGCTGCCACCTTAAAATTCCAACCATATTTTCACAATTTTTTCAGGTATTCAGATTCTAAATGCTTTTTCCCAGTATTTTTCATTGGAGAAAAATATCTCTGCAAGTCTGTGCAATACACATTTTTTTCCTTAGGGTATTTGTTCATGACAAAACTATCCTTGTGAAAGACAAATCTATGTAAACTTGCGTATTGGTATTGTGACTACTTCTCAAAATTTTGATCTGGTTAAAAACACTGATGTTTTGTTCCAGAAGGGTGTTTATCTTATAATTAAGGAAAAAATATTCTAGAAGGGTTTCTTTTAGCCTCATCTGTTTTGCATGTTCTGTAACAGTAGAGCTCCCCTAAATGATTGAAGATTCCTGCTCTACTTGAATAACAAAACTTGAATTGCTTAAGAAAAAAAACACACTGTCAACCAGACATTTAATGCTGCTGAAACTTCACATGAGAAACACAGCTCAGCGTGTGAGGTAGTTGGTTTGTAAAGAGCCTGAGCAGGCTGCTGCAAATTATAATTACTAATGTTATAATTACCGTAACTAACAGAAATGTGTCTTGACTTTGAGCTTTCTGTCCTCATTAAACTTGTTCACCTTCTCTGAAACTCTCCATGCTGCATGCTAGCACGGAGCAGTCGTATCCCCCGACCCAGCATGAGTCAGGGGTGCAGCCGTGATACCAGCCGTGAGAGCAGTCGAGATACAAGCCCTGCTCGGGGCTTCCCTCCACTTGGTGAGTATATGTAGGTGTTGGAGCTTTAAGGGTCAGTTTTTTTTCTCCTTTTCCCTTGTTCTGATTGCCCTTTCAAGACACTGCCAGGTGGAATGAGCTATTTCCTGTCCTCTGTTGGATTCCTGACACGCACCCCCTTTCCAACCCTTTTCCCTTTCTGTTTTCTTCTGCATGCTTCAATTCTGGTTCTCAGCATTTCACTGTTAGCAGGAAAATAGTTTAGATTTTGCACTTTTGTAATTTTTAGTTTAATTAAATTGGTTTGTACGGGGCTGCTGTGCTTCACTTTACAGCACCGATGGAAATCTACAGGAGAGGAAGCCTCTGTTTTTCTAGGTCACAGTGAAGTAGTCTATAGGATCGTAGACTGTTGCTGAGTGACTCTAATTATTCATGATCTGATTTTCTTAGAGCTAGGTACAGTAACTATATATAATTTCTATACTAAATCCTCCAACAGAGGTAGGAGCTCTCTTCTGTAGAGGTTTTACACGACTTGTCAATCATCAGTTAGCAAGGGGTACATGCTATTTTTGTAGGAGACTTTTTCAAGCAGCCTAAAATAATAGAAAAGTTGAAGTTTTAAAGAAGCATCATTAACATGCAGCTTAAGTGTACAGTGCAAATAGAAAATCTCACTACACTTAACACATGCAGAAGGTTTTCTGCACAATACTGAAAAAAAAAGATAGTTAATATTTCTGATCAAATACTGTATCATATATTCAACCAAATACATTACTTGTTGTACAAAAGATTTGTTCATCATCTCAGACATAATGAAATATAGTTGATCTCCAGGCCCTCTTCATTTAAGTAGTAATTTTATAGCTGTGCATGTGATATTAGAAGTGAGAAAGAAGCTCTCTGAAATTTCATGAAGGCTGGAGAATGGGATTACAGGATCTCTTCTGCACATACTGACAAAATACAGGTATATGACATAAGAGTGTAAGTAGGATGGCATTTTGCTTTTAATTCTGCAATTTTAATCCAATAGTGAGATAAGGTTATAAAAATATAGACAAATGGGCAAAATTTTCCCATTTGGTTCTCATACTTGATTATTGTACTTTAATCTTTTAAATGTACATAGATGTTGTCATTGATTTGGCTATCAGTGCAGAAGCTGGTTGTCTTCATCCATATAAAATCATTGACAAAAGTCCCATTGATTTCAACCGTTTAGAGTGGAAACATCAAGTTAATATTAAGAGAGGCTTTTGGATTGAAAATGTCATTATTTTGAGCTATAAAATATATTTGCATTATCTGTAATATCTCAATTTTGGGTGAAAAATGGGAGTAGTTCAACTTAGTATTTAGAACTTGGTTCATATCTTTTTAAGAGAAATAGATTAACTAACTTTTTATTGATTAAATGAAACTGATTTAATACCAGAGCCACAAAGGGGTAGTAGATGTGCAACTGCTGCTCATTTTTATGGTTACCTGCCTAGCTTCAGTTTTGAACGAAGCTTTTTTTCTCTCCAGCCAAAGTGTTTAAGCAGGCTGATTTCAGGGTTAACTTGTCTGCGTTCTATGTCATTGTGTTGCATTTTGTTTATTGTAGTGAAAATACATCAACTGAAATACTGTCTTGTGCCCTGGTTCTGAAAAATAAATGCAGTGTACCAGAATCACAGTTGGTGTGAGCTTTGTACACCACCACCACTGAGTCTGACTTGTACACCGAGTATAAAATTTCAGTTCCAGATGCCTAGTACACTGGTGGTAACTTTATTGTGGGGAGAGGGTAATTTCATTTTACCTCATGATATTTGATTACCTGAAGATTAATGCATTTCTAGAAATACATTGTTATTAAAAGTAATTAATGTATGGTGGAGAGGAGGAAGTATCAATGGAATAGTAGCCCAATATAGTTGTATTGTTGTCTTTTTTTCTTGTGTATTCTTTGAAATGCTTTAAGCTCAAACATGTTCATGAACTTGTTCATTATGTAGTGTGTAATTCATCTGAAAGAAATTTCTGTTTCTTAATTTAAGCCAAAATAATATGATTCTACTGCAGTATTTCTAGAACCCAGTTAGTCTTACATTATTGCGAAGGTAATATAACCCTACTGTGCATGGTCTATTTTTACTTATAAAGATTAAATTGTATATTAGTGAATTATATTTACACTAGCTATATGTAAGCAGCAAGATTCTTTCATTTAATGGTATTATGGTCAATGTCAGTGCTGACATCCTGACCTTGCAAATTGCTCTGCTTTGTTCTGGGGCATGTCTGTGCACCAACCGTCTTGCTTCCTAAGTTAGGAAACACTGGTGAAGAGTCTCGCCCTACACTCTGTGTAGAGATGTGATTTTTTTTTTTTTTAATTTAAATTATTCCTATTTCTTCGTGGGCCTTGATCTTGCAGTGTTGTCCACAGGGGCACAGTGGATGGCTCAGGAGAAAGCAATTGTGAGCTAAAAATCTTAACTGTGAGGTTCAGTCCATGATCCTGCACTGATCCTGCAAATGTTTCATGAGTTACGGTGTCAGTGGGATTGTTCTTTTGAATAAATGCATGTGTTCTCCGTAGTTAAAGGCCACATTGCATATTCTTTATAGCTTTTAGTCAAGCTCTCACAGCTGGGAAAAAACTTAAATTTTATTTTTCTCACTTTGCTGATTTCTGTTATTAGAATACTATTTGTATTTATGAATGTTTTGCCTTAAACAGAAGAATTACAGTTTTTCTACTGCACAATTATATGCATAATTGACAAAGCCTATTTGTATTAGAAGGTGGTTCTGCTTTATTTTTTTCAGCTTCTTGACTGTACTTGTAATGATGTTAAAGCAACAAGGCCTTCAGTGAGTCTGTGGTGAGGAATTGCTCAAATGAGCAGTCAGTTTCTTGGGTCAGTTGCTTTGAGCTAGGTGAGCATGTTATTGCTAGACACGGGGGAAAACTCTTTAGAAAAACTAAATTTCTGTAATTTGGAAATGACTGGACCAGCTTTTATCTCACTTTCATAAAGAACTCACCTTTATGTTGAATCCAAGAACTGAAAACCGCTCCAAAGGTATTTTGCGATTTGTGTGCTGCTGACAACTGGGAATTGAAGCAGGAGCTATATTTGGCTTCAGCTTTTCTGCTACTGTGTGTGCTCCATTGCTATTAACAATTTGTATACATGTGGTGTAATTCTAGATAAGTGAATGAAGTTCATATTCAGACTATCTCTGCATGTATGTACTTAGATTCAAGAAACATGTATGCAAAACTTGTTAAAAGCAAGAGACTTTTGGTAGTAGCAATAGCAACGATATGTATGTACATGTGTTTACCTGGGAAAAAACCCAACCCAAAGACCTATATGTGGTGGTTGGCTGACCTCCCTGTATGACTCTTTATACTTCTGTGGTTACTCATTCTCTTTGTTAACGTTGTTTTTTTATGCATAGGCTAGAGTGTTGTGGAAAAATACCTGCAAGCACAATTCCTAACCATTCATCATGGCTTCCCTGTAGGGTTTAGATCAGACACATCTAAATCCTGCTCTGTAGTTACGTGCTCCACGTTCTCATGGTGGCCGTCTTCCAGATCTGTGGGTCTGGAACGTGACTGATGTGCACTGGGGTTTTTTGCTGAACTGCACTGAGTTTGGGACTGTTACAAATGAGTTCTGTCATGCATCGTGTTTACGGTCGTGGGGGAAAGGGGGGAAGCTACAGACGAAGGCGTCGCTGTGGGGCTTGCACTGTATCTGTTATGCATTCATACACAGCGTCATTTCCCTGTCACTATGAAACTCTTTTACTGGTAGCGGTCACATGCATCCCCTTGGATTGTGGCATTTTCTGTCTTGGGTTAAATGTGTGTTAATCCTGTGGGTGTTGCCATTCCTTCTACTTGCAGCTTCTCGACGTCATTCCAGGTCCACTAGTGCTCTCTCCACTGCTGATTCTGTTGGGCAGTCAGGTGAACAAGCGCTAACTGCATGAGTCCGCTGCTTATTTGTCGTCTTGTTTTACACCATCTTAACATTTGCCGTCATGTGCATCAGCCAGCACTTGGCATGTGCTTCTCACCGCTGTGGGGCTTTCTGTTCTGTTTTGTTCAGTGTGCCTTTTTGCTTTGAATATCATTTATTGGATGTTTTTAATTTTATCTATTTTAGGAACATTGTGAGCAGTGTTCAAACAAAGGGTGATCCAGGGCTTTCTCAGTTCTCCTGTAAATTGGATCAGTTGTGCAGCATGGGCTAAATCCTGACTGATGCAGAGTGCTTGGAACTGCTTTATTTCCTCTTTAGTAGCAGTTTCCAGTGCCTAGGACCAGGTCCCAGTGGGTTTCATCCCATTTATTACTGAATTTATTACTATTCTGGACTCTTGTCTTTATTAATGAAAGTGCTTTGCAGGATCCTCTCCAAAATACAAAAGAGTAGCAAGAATTAAGCACCTGATGAGCTTTCAAAATGAACTTTGGAGGATTACATGCAGTGATCCATCCTTTATATAATTCTGAAGACCTTGTCCAAAGTATATGGAAGTTGTTGAAAAAATTGTTCCCTTAATTCCACTGGATTTTGCATCAGAAGATTAATGCTTACATATAGTGAAACAAATCTGCAGGTTCCAGGGGCTTCTTCCCCACTGGGCTGGATTTGCAGTTGCGGAGAACCTGTGACTCCCTTTGGAGTCGGGTTATTTCACTGGGAGTCTTAAAAAGAAATGAATGAGGGCTGCTAGCTTTGGGTCAATAGAAACTTAGTTGTGGGGACTGATGATGTCAAAGATGAATGAGGGCTTCAGTGTTTGCTTGGAGGCTAAAATTACTTGAGGAATTAGTGATACTGAATGTTATTTAATTAACCCCCTTCAGGTAGGGAGTGAAAAATACTCTTATTTCTCTTAAGTCTAGTTAAATGGCTGTCACTTACCTAAAACTCAAAATATTTCCCTTCTTAGGTTACTTGGCAGAAATTATGCACGGTGATTTGACTCCGGCATTTTTCTAAGTAACAATTTGAATTTGTATGTAACAAAAATAATAGATTTAAAAAATACACAAAACCCTCAATTGTAGTGCAGATTTCAGCTTTGTTGGCATTCAACTTCCTGTGATAGTCACTTCATGCTTGGCTCCAGTGGTTTGGTACAAAGGCTAATCAAATTGTATGTGGTTACGTGTGTCCTAAAGAAAGCCAAAATCCTCCCTAATTCTCCAGGGAGGTAGGGGAATGTGGCCAGAGCATACTCTGCTTATTTCTTACCCAGTAATATTGGGTTTGCCTGTACTGGTTATTCCTAGAGCCAGATGTGTTCCAGCCCCACATTAGAGGTGTGCCGAGGTCTCTTCCAAGGTCTAACTCCCGCACTGCGGTGTGACAGCAGTGTCTTGGGGAGAAGCCTGGGGTGACTTGGGTGTTATGAATTTAAAGATCACGGGAAAGTATTTCAGAAAATTCCTGATAGCCGTGGAGACAGCTAAAAGCCAGCATGCCACACCGTACTTAATTTGTTAAAAAAGCTTCTTTTTGTTTCGTTATGCTGGGTATTTTAACTGATCTACAACTGAATTACTTTGTCATTATATTCTTCATTTTAAAAAAAAAAACAACTATCTTCCCTTTTCTAATGTAATACTAAATTTAAGTGGAAACAAGTGACAGTGGTCCTTTTTGATGCCATGTTATTTTAAAAGTTAAAGCCAAATTGTGATCTCGGTAACAAATAATGTCATTGAGTTGGGTTTAAATAAAAAACTGAGTCCAGAACTTGTCTCAATATTTACAGCCCTTGTACTGTACATTTACTGTCATTTACACTTAGGAAGATACTTGTCTTCTGTACATCTTTGTAGTATATATTTCTGTAGGAGTGACTTTAGTTTCAATCAGGCCTAATGCTTTATCATCTTCTCTGTGCTTCTATTAAGAGTGTACAGATCTTTCCATTTTAGGGATGAAGTACTGTTTCACCTAAACCTTTGAAATGATTCTTCAACCAAAGTGCATTAAAAAAGGGAATAGTAATAACACATACAACTTTTATTTCTTTGTGAATTGTCATGATTTGATTACTTTTTGGCAGTAGTTCTAAGAAGTTTATTTTTTTTTTTCCTCGTAATGTGTTTTGTAGAAAATGTGCTTTTGTTGTAAATCAGAAATGTCTTGTCTGGGTATGTAACTTTGTGAAACAGTTAATTTTGGTAGATAACGCTTCTGTTTGAAATAAATACTAGTCTTCAGGGTTTATCTTTCTCTCAGAATACTCCAGATTTAAAGAAGTCTTCGCTATTTCCCTCAGTAGCCTAATCTCTGACACATTTGGGTGAAACTTTGGAATTAAGACAGTAGATTGGCAAACTCTAATCTCTGATAGAAATTATACATGTCAGTGTGAGCTAATTCCTTAAAAGATATTTCAGTGCAGTAGGTTTCTAAATAAGAAGCAATGAAGTTTGATGATAAGCGCAGTGTTTTCCCCCCAAAATACAGTAAGCTGCTGAATATCATGTTTGAGCTCAGTTTTGTGGAAATTCACAATATAGTTACGCATTTTGATAAACAGTATTTTTCCTTCATTAAGTTAAATAAAGATGAACTAAAAAGTGACCTGTGTGTCTTGATCCCTCCCTTGCTGCTTGATGGCTGCCTCCAGCGGGGATCTGCTGAAGGTCCATTAAAAATGGGCTCATGCAGCTTGATTTGTGCACCATTGAGTTTGCTGGCAAAGCTCTTGGCAAGTGTGGGTGCAGGGGACAGAGGTGTTAAGTGTGTCCCGGGAAGGGTGTTCCCAGTCCTTCTTGAGCAAAGACAAGTCCACGTAGAAACAAATATTGAATGCCAGAATCAACCTTTTGCTGCTTATAGACTGGAGCCAGGATCCCAGTAATTTGGTATCTGATCTGCCCACATTTAGGACTGTGCTGCCGGAGCCTGGCCTGTGATACTCAAGTCTCTGATTCTGCCATATCCCTGCTAGCATCGCTTTCTGAATTTGGCCTTTGCCCAAAGAAACTAATTACAGTAACTTTTTTAGTAGACTGGGCAAATGATCAAGTAAACTATTTAGTATTAGGAGTATAAAGGGCATTTTGGACTCAATCCTGTTGCTTTGGGTGCCATTGAAAGCTTTGCCATTAAATTCAAAGGGAGAAAGATGATACTGTTTGATCAAAACAAAATCAATTGTGATATATCATAGAGCTTTTAAGTGACATTTAAACTGCTTCTCAAGAACAGTAGTAAAACAAAAGTTGAAGTCACTTCACAAGCAAATAACCGTATTTTTATACTGTGGAGCTTAGGACTTCTACTGGTTAATCGAGCCTTGAAATGTAAAATAGGCTAATCTGGTGCTGGTCTCACATCCTTGCCTGAGAAAAAGCTGCAGGAGGGATGGGTGCTCGGGTTTTAACATGTTCTGACACTGGGCACGGTTCTGTCTCTCTGAAGTTAATGAGAATCTTTCTTGTGATTTCTGAGAGTGCCAGACTTGGGACCAGCATGTCTGCCTCTGAGATTAAAATAGAAACTTTGAAACCACTTTTGTGTAAAAAGAAACACAAAATAGATACCCTGCTTCCCAGCTTAAAAAAAGTAATTAAAAGTTGGCCTGAGGATCCAAAATTATCTGTGGGGCCCAACAAACAATAGTTTATTTCTCACTCTAATGGCAAACACTCTAGAGCTGTGGATAAAAGGAGTGTTTAGTGGAAAAGCACTGCGAGTTCCCAGAGCCTGTGGGGAAAGCTGCTCGGGTACCTGATTAGGATTCCAAATGAATGTGAATTCATTTAACAACCCCTTTCAATGTTGTCTTTTGTGCAGACCGGTTTGGACTCGGACAGCCAGGCAGGATGCCTGCTTCTGTGAATGCCATGCGAGTCCTGAGCACAAGCACAGACCTGGAGGCTGCTGTGGCCGATGCACTGGTAAGAGGAAAAATACAAAATGCTTCCGACACCGGAAAGTGGCTTTAAGTTACCTGTACGTACGTTCTCCTCTTTCTAAATAGCTTTGTTCTGATTGTGCCAGTGTCTGATGCTGTAGAGTTAGTCACCTTGTGCTGTTTTGTGTTTGGGTATATTGGCAGCAATATTTGCTTCCTTATTCGGTGTTGGTTCTCCACAGTTGTAATCAGAAAGCTGTGGCTCGGTGCTAGAGCTGCAGGATGGGTTGAATCAGCTGTTTGTCTTCCACTTGGCTGGCAGAGGATGTGCATGGCACTGTGGGGGTGCTCGGTGCCTGCCGGGTCAGGGATTTCCATCAGCCCCATTACCTGCATGAAGAATTTGTCAGAAGAACACTGCTCTCTGTTAGTGCCGATTCCTGTTCAGGGTTCAAGAACAACTCGGAATTTCACTGGTTCCTGCCCTGTGTTGTTTGCACCTGGTTAGATACTTGGATCAGCTCATAGCTTGGCTTGTCTGTAATCAATACCATCTCATGCAGTTTAACTGAAGAATATTTGTTTGGTGTGCTGCTAGTAATTTCAAATTTTCAGTCCATTTTCAAGTAAATTTATTATAATTTTTTTAAAAAAATTATTGTCTTGTATAATCTTACTGTACTATAATAGCTCTCGGGTAGAAACCAGGAAGTGTTTTCTGCTCTTCAGAAGACAAGTGTTAAGATAAGACTTTGGGTTTACCTTGAGTATTTGGGGAAGAGAGGATGTGTAGAGGCAGGAGTGAATTAGCTGGGTACGTACCAGTGTACTTTGGGTCTTCTCCAGCTCTAGATGTGAGCTGAGGGGAGGATTTCCTGGTGTCTCTTAAAACAGGTATCTCGGATCTCTCTTTATGGAGAATGAACCATGTCCCCAGTGTTTGTGACAGATGGAGAAATGACATTTCCTAGTTCACTTTCCCTAAAGATGGCTAACATTTTCCTGTTTATATTTGATTATCACCAGCTCTTGTCACCTCATTTCTAGATGATTATTAGAGTATTCCTAGAGAAATGCCATTTTTTACAAAATCTACCTTTCCATTTAAAAAAACCCACAGTATTTGTGAATGATATAAAGGCAGGTCAGTATATAATAGATGACACTGTTGCATTTAGTGGGCTAAATCATTAGTGGACATTTTCATTACCAAATCCAACAGCTTGTGAGCCAGTTTCTGCTCTCAGCACCTCAAATTTGCCACCAGAGCTGTTCAGGGCATAATTATAGGCAGGGGTTTGCATGTGTAAATGAAAATCAACTGTATCCCTGAATGTGAGCAGCTGACTGAATACAGGTTTTTGAGGGAGGAGGAGGTGACAGTGTTTTAATTCACTGCTGATCAGGTGTCTTTGGGTATGACTTAATTTTCAGCTATGGAGTTCCCATTTAAATATTCCACTCTTTTAAACTGAATAACATTATACTGGACTGTTAAAACCTTAGTTAAAGGCTGAAAAAATTAAAAGGGAAAATCTGTATGTCTACCTGGAAACTTAAGTGGTGCTGCTGCCTTGGTTGATCAGTCTGAGTTAGTTTGACTTCAGGGCATGCAATGGGGTCTTGTCCCCTTCTTTCCTACCACCCCAATTTGCTCTTTTTGTTGATTGTCTTCTCACACCAGGCAATTTACAAACTCTGTTCAGGCTCCTTTTAAATAAAGTGATGTCAGCTTTTATCCAGCAGCCTTCTTTTCAGAGGAGTAATTTTTTTCCCTGTAGTAGGAAATGAAAAGAGCTCCTCCTAATATGGCTTTAGCCAAATGCTCACTTTAAACAAAACACAGTGGGTCAATTTGTGACCTCTACTCCAAATGCACAAGTCCTGGAGCCACTGTTTCTGTCTGAGAGCTGGACTTGGCCTAAACCTGCAGTGTCTATACTGGGAATCTGTGCTCAGATCTGTCAGAAGAGCTCAAAGGGTGATGGAAACTTTGGCATTAAATACGGCCTTTAAGCCAGGGGTGCCAGCCAGGGGTTCTTAGAAGAAGCTAAGCTTCAAAATAGTGTGGTGTAAGAACTGCAGGTTGAAAGAGAACTTGGTGAAGTGAAGTTGTTAAAATGTGCTGTACTGTAGATAGTGGTTTCCTGACATCAGAACTTCTTTCCAAGACTTGAGAATCAAATGCTACTGATAATATGTGGGGAAATAAATCAGTACCAAAAACTCTGGTACCTTCCAGAGCAGTGTTTCTGAAAAGTAAGCAAAGAGGTGCTGTAAATATAGATCTGTCATTAAAAAGTTAATTAACAGATAATCTCAATTCCAGGCTCCTTAATAGAAATTGTAGGGTATATGAGTAGTGCAGCAGTTAGGAGATAGTCAGGCGTTATTATACCCACTTTTATTTTGCGTGAACTGTACTTTTTTTAATTTGCTAAGACACATTTGCTATACGTTTTTGTTGCAAAAACAAACCCTACATAAGCTTCTGACATAATTCTCTATGCTTTTTCCCACCCTTCAATATTTTCCTGCCTACAGCTGTTAGGAGACTCCAGGAGCAAGGTACTAGTGCTTTCTTGACTTTTTATTTCTACTTTCCAACTTTCCCCACCCTGTTGCTAACGCCCATGATACTGCACTTGAGTTAATTTCTACGCTTCAATCCTGCAGTCCTAGTGGAAGCAAAAGTCTGCTGGCTTCAAGTCCAAAAACTGCAGGACTGGACACTGCAAGGAATTCAGTAGCAAACATTTTAGAATACAGGCGATCTGTTTCTGATACATTGTCTTATCAATCCTGTTCTCTTAAGGTTCATTTAAGAGTTTGTTTGGTAGTATAGCATACAATTTGTTTTGCTACCATCATTATTCCAGTATTCCTTCTGTAAGGACTGATGCTAAAGATGTACCTGAGAGAATCAGGTCCTCTAATGTCATGCTATGGAAATAAGCGAGATTTGAGTACTCAACTCCCTTAGAAGCCTCTGGAAGAATCCTGGCCCAAACAAACAGAGAAATTGTCGTCTCCTGTATCCCTGTGCATTTCTAGAGTCACTTCATTATCAATATTAAAAGTGACTGTGCATGCCAGCACAGATTCCTTCAGCTCTTTCTTCCTTATCTTTATTTTTTTTTTCTTAAAGTAAAAGCTGTATTATCATAGTATCTGTAACAATGGAACTGACCATTATTGACAATAAAACAACATGCAATTTCATTACCAGTAACTAATTCCACTGGACATAAGTATCTCACTTTTATGCTGGGTTAGGCAGGCCCTGCCACTCGAATAGTCTCATTGAAATCACTGTGATCTGTCTTGCTCTAGTATGAGAGGTAAGCAGGCAGTGCTTGGTGACATCTTTAAAAAACTTATGTCACTGTAACAATAACATTAGTCTTCCTTTAAGTGATTACTAAACATAGATGTGTTTTTCTTTTGGCAATGACGTAACTATGTAGAACTTACTAAGTCTGAGTTTCCACTTTTCCAGAAAAAGCCAGTGAGAAGGCGCTATGAACCCTATGGGATGTACTCTGATGATGATGCTAACAGTGATGCATCAAGCGCTTGCTCGGAGCGTTCCTATGGTTCCAGGAATGGGGGCATTCCACACTACCTGCGGCAGACTGAAGATGTGGCCGAGGTCCTGAACCACTGTGCCAGCTCCAACTGGTCGGAAAGGAAAGAGGGGCTCATAGGTCTTCAGAACTTACTGAAAAGCCAGCGGACACTGAGGTGACCTTGATAGTTTTATACTGTCAGTCATTCATGAGAGATGACTATAGTCAGAAGTCAGTAATATCTACCTGCCTTATGTAGACAGATAGTATATTTCACAGCTGTGAAGGCTTTATCTCCACAATATGTGACTCTAATTACTTTTGGAAAAATTTTTGCTATGTCATCAGTGTTAAGTTTGTAGCAGTAATATAGATAGGACTCAGGTAAGCATGCTGTCTTCTCTTAGCCTTCCTCTGTCTCGTGAAGACCTCCAATAGTAGGTGCTTGTTGCAGTACAGTGAGATTTCCCACAATGGTGGTTGTGTAAATGCACTCAAAGGGTGGTACTGTTTTCACATTAGTCTGTTTGAACTTTCACTGTTTCTTTTTCCCCAGCAATTTAGTTGGGGAAGCAAACACTGCACTTACTCTAAAATTACTTGGGGTGTGTGAGTTTCAAAGATGAGATCAGGTGATGCTCTCAGTGTGTAGGGTATACTTTGACTCTTTATGAAGGCTTTGTTAGGTATAATTATAGATATTATATGTAACTCTTGAAAAATCTTATATTAGAAACTTGAGTCTCCTCTAAATGGTGTACTTTGTAATGCAGGTGAGAGTTTAAGGCAATAAAGTAGGTGTACTGACTCTGAAACTTTGCTTATGGTAGGAGAGGCAGACCGTTTTCCCTTGTTGAAAGCCACATAAACCCTTCAAATGCCTTTGGCATGTCACACATTAAAACAGATCTTAGAATTACCCAATAGTCGTGTGGAAACTTCATATGGCCACAGGTCATGTTAACTAAAGTCATCTGGCTCTCAGGCCATAGGCTTTTCACCCTTAGTTTATGGTGAAAGCATTTGGAAACAAGCTGTTTATCTTTTGGCTCCTTTGAAGATAACATTCACGAATAGCTGTGACGTTTTTATTTTCCTGTTATGAATATTATGTACTTAAATTATGACCAAGTTTATAAGTGGTGGTTATATGGTTTATAGCCTACCTACTTGGATTTGCACAATTGTTTCTATTTTAAAAGGCCTTCACACTGGCTGAAAATATTTGATGGTTCATGTTAACAAGCTGAGTGAAAATGTGCTGACAGCAGGCCTGGAAAGGTTGTTCTTCTGCCACCATAAAGATATTCTGGCACCTCACATGATGTGGTGTAGCCCTTAAGTGAGAGGTGCTACAGGTTTTTAATACAGGTAGTTAGAGTCCTAGATCAGAGGTGCTTTTTCATGTGGTCTGCTTACGAGTCTTTTAAAAGATACTTCCCACATGTATGCTGTCTTTTTTCTTTATTTTAACGAACAGTCTGGAAAAACTGTGGCACCTCATACATTTGTATGAAAAAGTTGGGTGAGACTTTGATTTTCCCACAGAGGTGCGTGAGGGTTATAACCAAGGTTTTGAATGCTGTTGGGGATGGTTCCAAGGGAGGAAATGCCGAGAAGGTTGGGTAGTGGGCTATTTATCCAGATCAGTAGCTCTTAGCAGAAATGCCAGTAGAATTCAACTATTGTTTTCAACCCTGCAGTGTTTGAACTTACTACTGTCACTAGTCCCTCAAGCTAGCAAGTTTTCATAGCTTTGATCCTAATAGTTGATAAACCTGTTCCAGAAGCTACACCCTTGTAGAGTTTGGTTTTTTTTTTAAATTTGATAATGGTTTTCGTTTTCTAGATTGTTTCATTTTGGTTTCCTTTTTGTTTGCTTCCTCCCTGGTTCAGGATTGATCTGGTGCCTGTTCTAATGATTAGATTTTATCATTCCGTTTGTTCCCACTGCATCTTGCAGAGCATCATCAAGGTTATTAGTCCAAGGGTTAGTCTGTCTTCTAATTAAACCTGATATCTTCTGTTGTGGTAGAACAAGTTTAATTAAAGGCAGTGTGATGTGGCTAGGGTTTCTTTAGTACTCTGAACTGAAGATGCCTGATCCTGTATTAGCTGGGATTTGCATATCCAGAAAGATGTACTTGCAAAGTGGTGTGGCATGTACCTGTCCCCTTTATTTCATGTGACCCAGTTCTCTAAGGGCTCCCTATAAGGCCTTCTAAATAAAATAAGGCCAGTAAGTCCCTTGAGGAATCGTTCTTCCACTGCTGGTTTCAATTTAGTACTTGCATTTTTTAGCTTGAGTCCATGAGCTTTTATAAAGAGGCACGCTTGTATGTGCTGTCTTCATGTAGTGTTTGTTCAGAAGGATAAACAGAGTAATAAATAGGAATTAATTCAGAGAGCTACAGTCTGCATGAAGTCAGGAGAGCATTGTAGAGTAGTCATTTCGAGACTGTCAGTCCTATCCTGAATGAAGCTGGCAGCTTGCTGTGGTGTCATTACAAAGACTTTTTTCTCTATCAAACTCTTTAAGACATTGTTTTTGTGCCTTTTAAAAATTTGATTAGTCTTTCATGCATAGATTTATTTGAAGAGATGCTCTCTGCGTTACTTATAAACAAGCTACCATAAAATAGTTGCAGACTACTAGCATATCCTGGCCTGTTCTTTAAAGCTCATTTTGAGAGGGAGGGAGTTGGTGGATTTGTAGAATTAATGCCTTTCTGAAAGAGGGTACCTGTAGTCAAGACCTGAATGGCTGCTCTCTGAGCAATCCATGTGCATTTCACTCATTGCTCTGGTTTCATAGTAATTGTGAAAAATACCTACTTACATCCATAGTATGCAGGAAATGTTACCTAACTGTCTTGCTCTGATTTTGTTGTTATTTTTTTCCCCTGCATTCTTTGGCAGTTTGCTTTGCAGTAAAGACAGGACTTGTATTTTCAGTACATTGCAAATAAGGCACCGAGAGTTCTGCATTTGACTCAAACTCAGTATCTTATGAAAGGGGACATACATAATTCTTTTTTTTCTCCCCAGCATTAAAAAAAAGTATTACCAAGCAACTAATAATCTCTTACTCATAGGAGACTGCAGTTAGATTTTGCCTTGATTTAATTATCTTCTGATTTACTGGGTTGCCCACTTGTTAATCTGTCTTCCAGTTCTTGACATTTATCTCCTCAGTGTGCCTGCTCTCAGGCTTCAGAGGCAGTTCTGGTATCTGTTAATACTGTCCAATTCTAGACTGATTTTGCTGAAGCTACTGAGAATTTAGACCAAAATATTTTATTAATACATACCCAAACAGCATAAAAGTTCTGGTTTTACTTGAAAATTTAAGTTCCCTGACACAAAAGGGACTTGAGAAACAGCAAAAGGCCTGTGTTTCAGTGAGTCAGTGACCTTGATGCAGACAGAAAGTAAATACCTCCCCAACATGCACATTTCAGGCTGTCTTCTGCAATCCAGAGTATCAAAGAAAATAGAAGCATTAGAAAATGCAAGTGTCTGGCTTTGATTTTAAAAAACATTTATTAGATTTCCTAATATAAGGTTGGTGATCTTAACAGCTAAACTAGAATGCCAGTTAAGGCAAGTTTTCAAAGTGTGACTTAAGTAACATTTAGATAAAGGAGGTTACATTTTTCAGCTCTTAATATTTACTAGCTTTTCTGTGGCAACTGGAGCTTTAGCATTAATACCATGTTTTATTTATGTATTTTAGCCGAGTCGAGTTAAAAAGGCTGTGTGAAATATTTACTCGCATGTTTGCTGACCCTCACAGCAAGGTAAGATCACAGAGACGTGGCTCTCTCTCTTGCATTACCATGTGTGCACATTTGACACTATTCCAAGAGGAATGTTTTGTGTTTCTACCCCTGCCATCTGCTGGGGGAAACTGGCATTTATAAACCTCCTGGATTTTAGTCTGTTCTGCAATGAAGGGATGTGTCTCAGCCTCTCTTATGTTGCTAGGAATTGGTTATTCCGTGCTTCCCAAGGAGCAGCCTAATGCCTTTCATGTGTCAGCTCATGGAGCCAGAGGTTCAGTGTTATTGGTACTTCTCTAGGAAGTGTTGGTGATGGACAGTAGAGTGAGGCCCATGAAGGGTAATGAGCTGTAGTTCAGCATCATGGTCGCTGGGGTTTGTGTATTCTGTACACCTGGGAGTGGTACAGAGTCACACCAAAATGCTGTTCTGGATCTCAGAGAGAAATGAAGTCTTCAGTATAGCTACTTTGCCTTTGTAACACTGACCTTTGAAGTTAAAGGCTGTGGCACAAATTAACATCTCTTAAAAATAAGTAGGCTAGGAAATGGGGAAATTGGGCCCACAGGCACATTCAGATCCAGTGCTCTTCTGTTGACAGCTAAGTGGAAACAGGAACAGGAGAAAAGGGAATTTCATGCCTTTTTCTGAGGGGGTTTGCTGGTTGAGGGCAACCAGTAATGACTGGGTAGAAACATCTGCTGTTAGGTTAAATACAGTTTAAGAAATAATAAGTTGTATAAATATTTGTACTTCAGACTACTTGGTAAACCAATTTCAATAAATAGTTTGTCAGGTGAAAATCCTCTGGGCAGGCATAGTCACCTGTCACAAGTCTTGCTCAAAGTGTGCATTTTTGGCTGTAATTATAGTCTGGACTAGCTGCCCCACAGGCCTCATCGAGTGTGGCAGTTTATACCTGCAAGGCCTTAATGTTTTGGTTCTCAGAAGTTCAGTATATGTTGTGGAAAGGATGAAGATGTAGCTATTTGCTTGCAGACTATTTCCAATTTCTGAGTAAGGTGAGGGTTTATTGCACACTGGGTTCAAGTATGTCCTCTGTGGCAGCAGTGATCTGTCATCTGCGCTGCTCTTACAGAACTGTTGCTACAAACTCTTTAGTCGTGGTGTTAGACGTGTGTAAACTTTGTTAGGTATAAACATATATAAACTTGTATAAGATTAATGAGTGAAGAGACTGGTTCTCATCCAAGGTGTATGATGTTTAAAGTAACTGCTGAGAAGAGATTGTTTAAAGAAAATGTAAACTTTCAATGAATGCATCTTTTATCTGTTGACAAACTGCATCTGAGCAACCAGCCTTGATCACTATGTGTGCTAACGAGTGGTTTGTTTTGTTGCATGGCCTGCTTTGCCGTGGAATTCACATCAGAGAGTAAGTGTATTCTACCCCTTTTCTTCATTTGTTTCATGTGGTATTTTAATAAGACACCTTTTTAGACATGTCTTGTCTGATTTTTTTTTTTTCCAGATCAATATAGTCACTAAAATCATTCATTCATGAAACTGTCTATAACCAAATCATCCCAAAACTCAGATTATAAACCCCTCCCCTTTGATTATGTTTACTTAAAGCATGGTATTCCTTTTTGTGACACTTGTTTTGTTTATAGGTCTTCAGCATGTTTCTGGAAACCCTGGTTGATTTCATCATCATTCATAAAGATGATTTGCAGGACTGGCTTTTTGTTCTCCTGACCCAGTTGCTAAAGAAAATGGGAGCAGATTTGCTGGGATCTGTGCAGGCGAAAGTTCAAAAAGCTCTGGATGTCACCAGGTAGAGTACTCAGATGGCAAATGCTACATAGGTTTTTGCAGGATTACTGGAAGGCATCTGATGAACATTTTAGAAACCCAGTAGTGCCATATGTTTTGAGGGCTGAATCTTGAGGAATACCAGAATGAAGAACAAAACAGTTATGTCACAGTATTTCAAGCATTGAATTAAAAAGGCAAGGCCTATGTCTTTTCTAAATAGATAACTTCAAAGCATAATATTCAAAATATGTAACTGATTAATTTTGTTATTTTTTTTTTTTGTGTGCATGTGCTTTGATATAAGTTTTCTTTTTGATTATATGTTTGCAGTATTCGGAATACGAATGGTGCTTTACCACAAAGTTCAGAGCATCTTTCATTTGTTCGAACAACAAATAATGGTCAGGATAAGACCTTGAATACTACCGTGATGTGCACACCAATTCTGTAGTCCCTGTCCTTTTCTAAGGACATCTGGCACGGAACACTGTTACAATAAAGTTTAGCTCATCCTGGAAATGGGATAATTAAGAAAGAAATTAAGAAATCAAGGAGAAAATAGGATAGAAGAGGGAAAAAAAGAGGAGAGAAATAAAAAACAAATATGAACTCTGAGGAAAAGATGAGCCAGTCTGCTACTGGAGATGAGGGAACAAAGTACAGCCTGAAATGAAGAAGGAATGGACAGGTGTGCCAAAACCTGGATAAATATACAGATACATTACAAATAGAGTAACAATATATAAAGGTACTGATTTAGCAGGTTTTGGTAGTATTAAATCAATAATCAGCCTGATCCTTAGACTTGGAGTTTCTCTGATGTTAAAGTTAAGAAAAAGAAAAGTGTGAGAGGTGTTGAAATCTGTTGTGTAAGTTATGATGTATTGACTTAATTTAATCCTGAAGACTTACACTGCATTATATTTTTGCCTTTGTTTTCTTTGGACAGGGATTCTTTTCCATTTGATCAACAATTTAACATTTTGATGAGGTTTATTGTAGATCAGACCCAAACACCAAACTTGAAGGTCAGTATCAAAAGCTTCTTCACTAAAGCATCAACATAGTTGTCTTAGCTTGCTCTGTCAGGCACACCATAAAGCATACAATTCATGACAAAATAACTAATTGTAAGTACCTCCATGATACAGAAATGATACTGGTAACTTTGATTAACTCTCTCATTCTTCATTGTAATAAATCTAAATACCTTTAGAATAGGTCCCATCACAAGTCAGTAAGAGTTGGGCTTTGGGCACACTGGAACATACTAGAGTAAGTTTAGACATGGAAAATTCTTCTTCACCATGGTCTTGGTGGGAAGGAAACTTGGCTGTGCAGTACAGAAGGGACCAGACCCAGTCTGAACAACTGGGAAGTTAGGACCCTAGGCATGTCTTAAATGCTCGTTGCACAGATCAGGCATATCACGTGTAGTGGCTGGAGAGGAAAGAAAGATCAGAGCTTTCTGTTACTGAATGCTCCCAAGGGGATACTTTATGCAGACTGTTTTTCAGGAGGTTGCTGTTTCAAGGCTATAGGTACACTGTAGACTCTGGAAGTCGTACACGTTTGTCTTCCAGAGACAGGAATATACAGGATGTCAAAGAACTCAAGTCTTCTTTCTTCAATCTCCCAAATTCTGGAGCAGTTGAAAACTCCAGCATCAGGCATTTGGTTTGAGCCTAAAAGCTATGTTTTGGCATCTAGGACAATAACCACCGGCGGAAAGAGCATGGTGCAGGACTGATTTCCTTATTCAAACGTACAAGCAGACATACGTATTTCAAGCCAGTTCTCATATACCATTCTAGACTCTTACTACACAAAACTTGTCCTGGGTAGAAAGTTGCTTTTGATTTTGGAAATATGACATAGAGCCATGTCACAGGGAAGTTTTTTTCCCAGATGTGACAGGTCTCATCAGTCTGTAGTGGTATGTGTTTATCTCATGAGATTAATAAATCCTTTTCACTTCTCAGGTGAAAGTTGCTATCCTGAAGTATATTGAGTCTTTGGCAAGACAGATGGATCCAACAGACTTCGTGAACTCCAGTGAGACAAGACTTGCTGTATCTAGAATTATAACTTGGACCACAGAACCAAAGAGCTCAGATGTGAGAAAGGTAAGCCAGAATGATGAAGTATTTGCAGTAATTTTTGTTCTCCACACCCCAATAAAGAAAAAAAAAACCCCAAGGTGGAGGGCGGGAAGTCATAAAAGTAATGAAAAATTCAGTGGTTAGATTCTGATTTTTTTTAAAATGGATTTTACATGCCTTAGTGTCCAAACCAAATTGCCAGTTTGGTAAAGACAAATTTCTGAAGCATTTCTTAATATATATATTTTTTTGTAATAGGTACTTAGTTGTGTGACTTTTAAAACTCTTATTACCGTGAAAAAAAGAGATTGTAGTTTGAAAATGTGCTTTTTCTTGGGCATTCTGGAAATACCTCTGAGTTTTTGTTTATTTAGGTGAAGGCTCTGTGCTTTGTAGACTCAAATGAAATCTAGCACAACTTCTGTGTTTGTAATATTGTTAAAAGAAAGTAAACAAATCAGTAAGCTGCCAGGGGCTCTCAGCTCTTTTCTTTTAAGAGCTGTGTGTTTATCTCAGCCTGGAAAAAACCTGACACATTTAGGTCAGGCCTGGGTAATAGAGTTACCTTGTTTTTTATCTTGCTCTAGATGCAAGTGTCAGGCAAGCTAAAACGGGCAGATAGCGATACTCGTCTCTCCCAAGAGAAAAGTGAGACTTAGTTTTATGTACCTTGCATCTGTAACAGAATTTAAAATTACCTTCTCTTGCCAGCCCAGATGTAGAAATAGATTCCAGTAGGAGTTAAAGGCTTTGAGATGTACTTGAATTTAAAAAAAACAAACCCAAACAGCCAAACAAAAAACCCAAATAACTTTAAGCATTTGAGAGTGTAAAAATGGTATGAGATTTTTATGCTGTACATGCACTTAAAGTGTAGAATTAATACTAGAATAAGATACTATTTTTTAGCTTTAGAAATAATTATTTTTGTCATTAGTTATTATTTGATTCTCATTAAAAGATCACAGAGTATCATGATGCTGCAATTGCAGCATTATCTGATGGCTGACACAAGGCTTCAAAGAATCTTTTTGGGTCCATGCTGTTTGCTTTCTGGCATACAGCTGATTGGATCTAGAGAAAAATGTCACATCCTCTTATCTGAAGACTTTCTGCCGGTATTATTCAAACCAGCATGACTGAAATTTGCTTCTCCAAGATAGTCTGCCTCAGAAAAAAAAGATTACTTTAAATCCTGGACTTAGATCTGGAATATGCATTTCCATTTTGATGCTTCCATGTACCAAGTCAAGAAGATTTAAACAGGCAAGGAAGCTGCTTCTCTATTACAGTTCAAGTAAACATCAAGCAGTTTACTCTGTTGGTGCTCCGTGAGAGGAAGTTGTAATTAAAGTAGAAATATACATCAAAAAGCAAAATCTCTGCATATTGCTCAGCAGAAAAAATATTCCACCATTAGGGGTCATCATTGCTGCATGCAAAATAAAGTGACGAGTATCTTCAGCTGAAAAAATTGGCTGTTTGCTGTGAAGCTGTGGGATGTGGGGAGTGGGTGCTCACAGTCCATCCTTCTCTCTGTTTCAAAGACTTGCAGAGCTCTGCCAATACTTACAGCGAACTCCACCTCCGCAGTACCTGGGCAAGTGCCTTGGGGGCTGATAAGAGATTACTGAATCTAAATTTTTTTTATTAAACCTGCATGTGACTTGCATTTGCCTCTAATGCCTGTAGCTGTCAAATAAATTACTACAAAGTTAACTTAGGCTACTGAAAATGAATGCTCAGGTGATCTTTATTTCGTCATACTATTTTATTAAGAACATAGTACAAACTGCAGGCTTTAGAAGAAACACTGCACTAAAAGATTTATAAACAATCATTGCCTATTATCTCTGTCAGTACTGTAGTTAACAGACTAATAAATTCATTATGTAGTAACGAACTGGATTATCAAGGGCCAACCAAGGCGGGTGAAATGTTCTGAAGAACATAATTAAAAACATTGTCCTCCTTTTTTGGAGACTATAACCTGGGGGAAAAAAGGTACCTTTTTATATCAAGATGATTCATTTAAGAATCAGGAGATTGTGCCCTCATGGAAGGTATTACAGTGGCCCTCAAGATCTAAGGTTTTCTAAGTGGAGAACAGACCGTGCATTGTAAACGTTGTCACAACATAAAAGTGGAGACAGCAGTGGAGGTTATGATGGAGAGGGAAAAGAACCAATTCAGTCTTCAAATTATTTAAGTACTACAAGAGGCCACCTGTAAAATGTGTAGGAGAAGGTACTTTTTCAACAGAATCTGGATTTGATACCACCAGAACAATCAGCTCAGCTCCTGTAAGCTGACAAAAGCAAACTGCATTTTTGGTACTGAGGAGTTTGGGCCAGTGTAGTCCAGTCCACGTATGCTGCTCTGGCTGATTTGGTGGAACACCGGTGGTGGTGCTCAACTGCTCTTTCTCCAAGAAATATAGTCCCACGACCAATGTTCTGTTATCACAAGAAAAATATGATGTACTTTCAGGTGATATTACGGAGTGTCATTGATAAAATGTCGTGATTCCCTCTCAGGGCAGAAACCATTTAAGCTGCTGGTAATTGCCATGAACTATGTACGGCCAAAATTATTGTCAAGCTTTATGTCTAAAATGAGGTGATCTGCAGTGGGTTACAGGTAAATATTTGTTTTGTTTTAAAGATTGTTCACACTTATGGGTGTTTACCCTGCATTCAAATTAAGATTTACTTCCTGTGAGCTGTACTACAGGACAGGTGAAAGGCATTTGTCCTCCATTGGGTAGGACAGGGTAGGAACAGGTCACACAGCATGGTGTGGAGACCTGAGTGGGATGTGGCAAGGAGAGCACCTGTTGGTAATTTCCCCATGTACAACCAGCTTGCTGCTTTTTCCCTGAGCCGAACATATCCCTGGGCAGGGCACAGATCGGGATTTCAGATAGCCGAGCTCTGACTTTGATTGCAGCAGCATCTGACCTTGTGCAGTGCACTTGACTTTCCTCTTGCCTTGGTTTCTTCCTCTCTGTAACACGGCATTAATTCTGATTTTTTTTCTGGAAAATGTTTAAGATTTGATTAAATCATTTTACAAAAGCTAGTTAATTACCACAATGACAACGTGAATACTGTGATGACTGCTCTGAGGACATGAAGTCAGTAACTTCACCACGTTATCATTGATATTGCCAGCAAAATTGTGTAGTCCTTACGTAGGTAAAGTGCTTATTGAATTTGGTTGACAGGCTTGGGCTCTGTGTGGGAAAATACTTTGATCCTGGAAAAGAGCCATCGATTTGAGAGTGGGAATTAGAATGAAGAATCTGATTTGACTCTGGCCAAAGCCTAAAGAAGCCTCCTGTCTAAGGCTTGGATGAATGGAAACTTTTATTACATGTGAGTGCTCAGTGTTTGAGGGAGTGGAGTTGTCTGCGAGGGCACACAGGATCTTAGTGTTTAGGAGAAGCTTGTACAGGCTGAAGGGGAACAAGTCTTTCGAGGTGAAGGCCCAGTGACGTTGCCTACTGTCTTGTTAATCAGCCAGGCTCTGGTCCTATCGACGCATTACGAGATCTGTATTGCCTGATTGTCATTTAGTCTACTAATCTCAGGGAAGAAAAAATTTTTACTTTGTGCCAGATATCCTGACTGACTTCTCTGTTGATGAAACATTCCTACAGTAGTTTTATTTTACAAGCCTGAATGCATTTTTACACATTATGGGCAGCCTTGTGTCACGTGTACATCGTGTTTTGCCTCCCACTTATGAAACTGGGAAAATATTTTCTTTCAACTGTCCCACTCGTTCCTGAGTTTGGCCAAGCTGCCCTTGAATACAGACAGTGAATAGGACTTGGTAAGAGGCTAGAACCATTGCAATGAATCAAAAAGCCCAGGAGAATGCTTGTGTTACTATGATTTTTATGAAGATGAAGTCCCCCTCAGACTGTGCAGGGGTAGGACCCTCCTTGACTTGGCACCACTGGTTTGCAGATGAAGTCCAGACTTGTCCAAAGAAAAGAAGTTTGGGATCAGATTTTTTTCCTAAAACTGAGTAATTGAGAAACTGTTTCTGAATTGTGCTGGAAGACAAGGAAGATTTTACAGAGAAAGCTGCAGATCAACAAATTCTTCGTCTACTCAGACAGGCAATGAAGATGTATTTAGTAGTTTAACTAGGGGTCCTAGATGTTATTTCTTAGTAAATATTGATGTTGTCACTTTGATAAGGAAATTGTGTCTATCAATAAAGCCCAGAGCAAATTTGGGTAAAATAGACCAATGATAGGCAGGAAAGCAAACCTGCAAAGGAAATTAAATAGGACTCCATTGCAATGTGATGCCATGAGACCTCTGAAATCCTTCCTGGGCTTTTAATTTTCCATTAAACATCAGGCTGAATGAAGCAGCTCTGGGACAGAAGCTTCACTGCGAATGCACTCCCAAATACTCTCAGCAAGCTGAAATGGCGTTGTTCATCTTCACTGGTGTTGGGCAATAAGCATGTTTGGTCATGGCCTGCTACCAATGGCAAAGAGAAT